CCCCCGTGTGTACAATTTCGTATCTTGAAACATCAAGCAACCAGCCAGCCAGCCAGCAAGTCATCCAAGTAGTAATGCAGACTGACTGCCAGGCAGGAAACGTGACAGTCTGTAAACAACTGGTCCTCCGAGATTCACAAAGAAGCTGCGAAGGACCGTGTATCTGTAGTATCGCTATGGCGACAGTATCGTCAGACTTCTTGGGAAATCTGCAAGAGCCAGAGAGACTGAACGAGACTAGAGTTAAATTCCGTTAAATAGCTAACGAAGACTAAAGGTTGTTTTTGGCATCGTCTGTCCCAACGTAATTAGGCGTAATCAGCGCTTTTGCTTGCCGTACGCACTCAGCCGTTTTATTTTCCTCGCGAGGCCTCTTTCCAGACCCAAGCGGGGGGCCAGGAGCAGCGATATAGGGCAAACCAGGTAGATAGGCAACCAGCCAGTTTTAGGGTAAATGTCGCGCGCAAAAAAGTCTATAAAAATTCTCCAGGGATGCACGATCACCAACCAGGCCGTAAAACGTCCCCGATGCGTGAGCGGCTCCGTGTAAACTAGAATCTTTTGAATACAACCTATCTTATTTTTTTTTTTCATGCTTCAGGTAAAAGTTGAGGGTCGAACCCAGTTCTTGTCGGCCGTTTGCATGAGTTGCCTCGAGGGCAGCGCTGGAGCTCCCGTTCGATGTCGCTGTTGCACGAGACCCTGGGATGGGTCAAGTCTAGTTCTTGGCACCATGTACAGCTACGACATCTTTGCTGCGATGCCCTGTTGCACCGAGCGCCTCAAGGTAAGTATTCAAATATAACGTTATTGGAAGTCAGGCCCGATTCATCCAGCGACATCTTCACGACCTCCTTCCGCAGCATCCTTATCAAAGCGACGCTTAACCATTCTTTGACCTCCTTCTGTTTCAGTGCAACAGTTGCCAGCAACCCCTGATCTATCCGCATCAACGACTGAACTTCTACTCCGACTACAGCCGCGTGTTCGCCTGTCCTCATTGCAGGGCCGTTGATGCCCACTTCGTGAAACCATTGTCCGTTTGCTTCACTCGCGAACAGTTTCAGCTTTACAGCCAGTGGCCGTAACCACTAGAGAACCTGGTGCGTCGTCTAAGCACTGCGGGAGACCCTCTTTCCTTGAATCCGCTGATGTCTCTGCTCCAGGCAATACTTTAGGTCTTTTATTTCTCTACCACATATCCGAGTCTTGTTAGATTTTTACGCTTTTTCCTTTTTCCTTTTTTTTTTTTTCGTTTTTCTTTTGGTCAATCGCTTATTTCGAAAGAGTACGGTCATTTTTCTTTTTTCACTTTTTTTTTTCCTTGTATCAAATGCGAGATGCACGCGAGAGATCAAGAGAGTCATTTGCGCAACTTTGTTTTTCTTGTGATTATACGTTTTCGGTATACGATGTACTTTTTTGTTTGTGTAAACTTTTTGCGTAATTTTTGTCAAATTAATAAAATCAAATATTTTATTTGAGTTCGATCTCTTGCGGCGCGCACTCGACAAGCACGAGTCTTAGTAAGACTAAGTTTTTTTGTTGAACTAGGTTAATAAATAAACGTAAATCAGGGGAAGATGGCCTACTTAAATGCAGTTTTCATGATGATGATTATTATTATGGTGATGAGAATGATGCTGGCGATCCTTGTGATCCTTGCGGGCATGCTTCCCGCGTTGCCGATTTCCGCCATCTCAATGGATTCCTTATTTGAAAGGAGGTTATGCTTGGCTTTCGGTTTGAAAATCAAAAGTGTTTTAGGTAAATTTTTAGTTTTATCCTTAGGTCTTTAGTAAATTATCATTAGGCAATTTTAGTTACATACAAAGATTAGCTAGGCACTTTCCATGTTATCTTTCCTTATGTATTTTTATCGAGCCATTTTTATTTTACATAAGAAGCATTGTCGGTGATACAGGGTAGCATCGCCCATTGCGCAAGGATCGCATATACAGTCTAGTAAAAAAAAAAAATAAAATAAAAATACAGGACAGGCTCTCATGTCATCCAGTAGTCGAATTATAATTAAACAAAATCAACTTCACTTACATGTATAAACCAACTCTTATAAGGGAAAAAATGCTATTGTTTGTTACTTAGATAATCGATAAAGTTGTTTTTTTACATTTTATTAGTTTATACGTTTAGGCGGCCATGTTGTTTTGTTTAAGGTTTTGCAACTCATATGATGGGTTCGTGTTGAACAGTTGATTCAAAGCGTCCTCTGCGATTATCCAAAGGATCCCACATGTCATCACGTGCATTCCTATATCCGTCGCGTGACTTCCGTTGACTCAATCGTTAAAAACAAAAAAGTTCAATTTCAAGCTCAAAATACCTAAAGTCCAAATGCAACAGACCTATTGCAAAAGACTTGTCAGGGACATGCATAATCGTTGCAACCGTGAAACCACGAGTAATAGGAAATTTGGGATCGAATTTTTGGAAAAACGCAGAGGACTGATAAAAGGATACCGGTGTAAATAGGAGCAGGGGAAACAAATTTATGGAGAAAAAAATGTTTGGCGATGCTGGTCGTTGCTGTCCACCTATAGCGGCCGTCCCACGAACTACCGCCCACCGTTCCCAAAATAATAGACGATTCTATATCCTCCTTTACGTTATTTCAATTATTATACCTAATCCGTATTTCAAGGATGTTAAGTAGGACATAGTATCGTAGAGTGGCGGCACGTTTGAAATTTCGCTACGCTCATCGTCAATCCAAATTAGTCAAACCAACGTTTTACACGTTTCAATTTTGGTTGCAATGACTCAACCCGTACTTTAATTAGTTAAGAAAACAAAAAATGAGTGAAATTTGTTTATCCTGGAATTCCGGTCCGCTGTTTAAAATCGCTAAGAGGATCCACTGCGGAATTTCACGTGCCGTGTAAAATATTGTGACACACTGTGAAAAAGATTTTTAAAAATTTGATCATAAGCGCGAGCAAGGAAAAATAATGTTGGATAGCCAAATGCGACGTGCCGACGTATCTTCTATTTCATTTTATTTTAATTAGTTAATACTTTCGATCTCTGTTCGTTCGTTCGACTGTAAGACTCATTTACGCCTGTGCAACAGCAAGTTTTATTAACGACGAACCGAGTTTTATCGTCATTGTACATTGACTCGGTCGAACGTTTCTCAGAGTGCCAAATAAGGTTTAGGTGTGTCTCGTAATTTTACGCTTTTATGCTTTTTTTCTTCCGTTTTAAACGATCATTCGTTTCCTTCTTTCCTGCCGGTCTGGTTATCCAAGATGTCGCGACAATAGCGAATTAGGCTCGAGTCGCTGGTGTGTGACTCCCGAAAATTTTCAATTTTTCACCACTTGGCCAGAAATCATTTTAAACAGCGCAAAGCTTCAGCGCGATCGGAGCGTCCTTTGAGTTCCTATTACTGCGGCCGTAAATTTTTTTCATGGAGAGATAAAGAAGTAAAGAGCTTAAAGAAACTACTGTCTGTGAGTAAGAATGAAAATTGGCTTCGTTAAATGATGTAAAAGTCGAATAAGCGGCTCGTAGTCAATTTTTATCTTTGAAGAAAGTGAACGAGGTATTTTTTCCATCGAAGCTTCCACGAGCTGCGTTCTGATTCCTTGTGTCACGTCGATTGGTTCCCGATCATGTATCGTGTGTGGAAGAGAAAAGCAGTGAGCGAGAACAGAGAGTCGAAGCGAGAGGGAGAGAATGAGTTTAATTGAGAATTGGAATACGAGATGGAAATATAATATTGTAAACACAGGGACGGACACGTGATCCGGGATATTACGCGACAGGCGTGCGACGCCAGAAGTCTGATGCGATCTGTGAGCGTCTTTACTGCAAGTAAATTAGTAGACTTTTTGTATGGATATCTAGATAATATAGCGCTAAGTAAGAAAGTAAAAATTAAGCGGACGGTTTGTTGAGCGTATTAGAAATTTCGATTGTGCGTGTGTGTGTTTATTGAGAAATGGAATATGAGACATAATAATCGACGAGAGAGGATGTGAGGTCATTCGAAAAAATATGTGTGGGAGAGTGAGAGAGAGAGAGAGAGAGAGCGAGGGAAAGGCGTAGAGAGTGTAAGTTTTGAGAATGATGATAAAGAGAGAGGATTGGCTAGGAATATGCTTTTTATACTTTCTTAATATAAAATTAATATATATATATATATATATATATATAACGAAAGACTCTTAAGTGAAATACATTGATTGGTTTCACCATACATTTTTCACGATGCTTTGGACGCGCGAGGCTACTTCGATCGATGAAGTTTTTCTGTGACGAGAGAGGGAGAGGAGGGGAAGCAACGCGAAGATTTTCGGTGGGAAGAAAAAGTCTATAAAAAAAATGAAAAAACATAAGACGTAGATTGTAAGGCTCGAAGTAGCGTTTGATATCTGGTATATAGTACGCTGTAAGATTGGGAGCACGGGTTTCATCTTCCATCCTGAATTGAAGAAGGAGCGGAAGGGACTCTGGGCTCCGTTTCTTTTTCTAAGAGAATGATAAGGTTTGTATTTGAGAATGTAGATACGACGTATTTGCTATATGTACTAAGATTTATCATAGTTAAGCTAACTTTTTTATTCCGATAACTATACGATTTTATACTTTTGCTATACACGTGTCCGCGAGGAGGGTTCGCGCGGGGAGACTCGCGGATTTTTGGATTTTTTTCGAATTTCGAAACTCGAAAATTACCAATTGATACGGTAACGGTTTGTGATTCTTGTAGAGAGATTGTGAAAGGGTATGCGGGAGAGTAAAAATTATAGGCGTAGAAGGGAAGGGGGTTAGGGGGGACAGAGAGGAGGCGAAGCGAACACAGATTGAAGTAGACAGGATGACAGGAAGACAGAAAAGACAGACAGGCTTGCCAACTCTTGGGAGACAGAGATAACGATAGCCTGGGAATTTTCGATAGCCAAAGAACGCGAGAGACTTTTCTTCTAGGATCGAGAAGGGACTTCTCACAGTGACGTATACGTTCTCCGTGGAGAGAGAGAGAGAGAGGAAAAGAGAAAAAAGAGATCCTGACTTTTTTACCTTTATAAATTCCCCCCCCCCAACTTACCACCCCGCGTAGCCCCTCGCGTGTCCCGTCCGCGGGGATCTCGATGGAGTGAAAATTTTGTATTGATGTTTTTAGAAGAGAGAGATTTATCGGTAAGGGTAAATCGCCGGCCGATATCGCGGATAGGTCTTGACGCGAGAGATTGAGAGATAGCATTGTGCGAATCGAGGGAAAAATAATGGCGGCAGCCTCAGGGACGTATTGTGTTAACGAAAGAAAAAGCCTAATGGCGTTATGGTGCCAGGGTGGATGTGTACGAAGCCAAAGTAAATTTTGAAGATTTTCCTCGCGCGGCCGAGTTTTCCTTAATAACGGTCGGCGAGATCGGTTTTATAAGGTAATTTATAGCTCAGTTTTATGAATTTGATATTCGAGAAGCAATCGAGTCGCGTTTTTTCGAGGCGGAAACGGTTATGAGTGGTTGAACTATGAATAGAGTTTAGAGTAACGATTATAAGATAGAGGTTTGAATCATCGATGCTGTAAAGATTATTATAGAAATTTAAGCGATTAAGTTTTCTTCGTGGACGGTCCCCGATCCTATCCACGCCTCGGTAAAGAAGACACGCATTGCGTAATGCGCACGATGCCCAACCATAACGTAATTACGTAACTCCGAATCTACGCGCGCGCAATACGAATCGTCCAATCGTCGTGTCAACGTGTTATCGCGCCATTGACAATTAGAAACAATTTTCAGGAGTCAGGCTCTCGTGCGATTTATATAGTACATCAATTTTTCGCACACACGTATACAAGATACTTCATGCGCGAGAGTCTACTTCCGTATGACGGACACGACGTATTCGCAAATTTCCTTGGTTTCTCGTTCCACTTCCGGTAGCACCGTTTATAACAGAGGCACGACGGTCGCTCAAACGGACAAATAATTCTCCGACTCTTCTACACCGTATCGATTCTCCGAATTCTCGAAGAATTATATTGGGAATTCTTATGCGTGCCGTATCGCGAATTTTCCAGGCAATTGGAATTAGGGAGAAAATGAAAAATCTTTGAAAATAGTAGTCCGCACGATGATGTGCGGCTTTGACCTGCCGATTTGAATAAATAGTTATTCTGTCGGATTTGCTTGTCTCGGCCTAATGAGACGTAGGAATTGATTGGGAGAATTGACGACTGCACCATTGCTATCGGTGCGCTTGCACCATCTTACTCAGTCGCGTCTCTTTGTATTCGGATTCGCTGGAAGTGGGAGGTTCAGGGTGGAGGGCGATTTCGCGTGAACGAATGAAAGGGGAAAAGAAAACAAAGTTAATAACTTCGATTCGACGGAAAGAAGATATTGGTGCCGAGTCGAATACTTGGTAAATGAACGCCGATTAATTAAGCTAATGATTATTATTGAGATATACGTTGTGCGATCGGTACCGATTGGAAATCGAAGGGCGCTTTTTGTTTTGTACTAGTAGGCTATCGTGTCATATTACATTTAAACTAAATAAATATTTGTACGAGTTCTAGAAGACATTTTTTCCTAGGGACATTTAAATTTGTAATTGAAACGTAAATTAAAAGTCGATTGTTTGAACGAGGAGGGGATACATTATCAATGTGTAATCTAAAAAAAATGAAGTAACGATAATACGTAGCATTTAAGGTTTTTCTGCTGTGGTAGACAACTAGGTATTTACAGACTTAATGATAAACGCGTTGGGATAAATATTATATTAATTAATCATCTGTCGGATTATTATAATAACCGATCCGTTTGAGCCGCAGATCGCGTTCAAATGAATCGGGACGAGTGAATTTCTCAGAATCGAACGTAATTCACTGTAATTGGCAGTCTTAAAAATAAATTATTAATTAACAATTGAACATAATCGTGCTGGCGTAAAGTGAAGCGCGAGAGCGCGTATAAATTCTCTATGCGAGCCATAAACAAGAAATCGGCATGAATACGTAAGCGCGGGAAATTCAAATTGAACTCGTCACTTTCCTGATATAACCTAATCGCCTAATCGCTGAATGTCCAAGTTTATTAGCGATATCGATTCCTTCTTTATAGTCATTCGTGTTACATTAACGATACATAATTATTATATAATTACACGACATATTATACAAACTAACCGCCATGGATTATGCTTACATAAACATGTTTACATACATCTTACCCCAATTCACACATGAAATACGTACAATTCGCCTTCGCTGTGTCAAACACGTGGATTGAGACTCGAGACTCGAGAGTCTTCACGACTATCCTGTTATCCGTCTTTCTTTTCCTAGTTTCTCACTTATCTCAATACATCCCGTGGCTGTCCAGTGAGGGTGGTAGTAACCACAAAAAAAAAGTAAAATAAATGAAATAAGTAGTACATTAGAAAATGCGTGCTGTTAGACGATAGAGGAAGGTACGCGAAATGGTGATATTTTGTGATCATCCAGTGTAAGCTGAATCCACCTCACGAAGCATTCAGAAAAGAAAAGAAAAAACAGAAAAACGAAGTTTTTGGTTTTCACAAGTTTTATAACGAATAGAATTAGCTCTCAGGGTTACAACGTCGCTGGTATACGATGAACTCCGCTATGGCAAATCCATTTCGCAGTTTCGAAACTCGTTGACGAAGGATCGATCATATAGGTAAAAATATTGATTTTCACCGAAATCGTGAAAAACTTCACCCGTCGATTGTTCTCGATGAATTTTCCATAGGCGAGGAGATTCGCAAAAAATTACAAAAACCAGATACTGCATTTTTAGCTTTTTTTTTTTTTTAAATATATAAATATATATATATATATACATTTGTTTTCGTTGTGTAGTCAATTTTTTTTTTTCCATACATTATTCCCAGTTTTAGAATTTCCTTGAATTTTCTTTTTATCTAGACCATAAAGTCTAAGTTTCATCCAGACCTTCCTCGTTATGTCAATGATGATTCATAATTGCATCGTTATGATGTAATCTTTACGTAGTGATAGATTATAGTAAAAGCGAGTAAACAGAGTTTCGATAGATTACACAAGAACTATTCGTACTATGCATACCCCAGTACATATTATATATATAAATATATATATTACATATATATATATATAAATATACCGTGCGAGAAAAGTCACGTTACGATATTCGTTTACGTCTATAAAACAGCTATTATTTAAATACTATACAGTTATAATAATAGCTTCATTGTGATCGTTACTCATGGATACTAGAGTCAATCCCCATTTATAAAAAAAAATAAGCTACAGAGACATCACCCCCCCCCCCC